GGGGGGGGGAGAGGGGGAAATCCCTTCTAGTTTTGCGGTGAGGCTGCCAGGCTTTGAAAAGGGCTTAAAACCAAAGTCCCGCTCAGCCTTTTGTAGGCGAGATCCAGATGTTATGTCGATTTTTGTTTGCATGTTCGTTTCGAGCGGAGCCGGCGGTGAGCGCTGTGATTATTTACGCGTGCGGGTTGCCGGACTTTGCCGTCGATCGCCGTTGCGCTTGCGGAACGTACGCTGAAGTATTAGCTCGGGAATGCCTTCTAATGGTAGTGCTAATTACAGTGGGGTTATTTAGCAAATTAAGTGAGCTGATGCACCCCCCACCCTTGAGCACCAGATGAACTTTTCCAAACACACACGCACGCCCGCGGACACACGCACACGCACACACACACACGCGCGCGCGCGCGTTAATTTTGGTGTGTTTCTCTCGCCCAATCACTTCGCTGGAGCTAAACCATGCCTTACCTCAGAACAGTCAATTACCAAAGCTACCCGGGATCATCAATCATGGGGGATGCTTGAAGTTTAGGGGAGGAGCGATGGTCAAACTATCGATTGCTGCAGTTTTGTCCTCCCCAACCCCCCCACCCTCGTTCACGGTCCCCTGCACATAAAATCTAAAACAGACTATCCCGTTAATAGTGGGATTTATCAATGATTATGTACCCGGTTGTGAATGTGGCCTCATACGTAGATGGCTTTTCAAAATACACGGCAGAAAAATACGACTTATTCCGTTAGGTTTGGGTTGGGTTTGCTTTGCTTTTCGTGATGGTGACGATGATGCTAAGATTTTTTTTTTTTTTTGAAACTTTAAGAAAATGACTCAAGGGGTAGTTATGGATATTTGGCCTGATTTTAATAGGCGTAGGGAATGAGCTCCAGAGGTCAATAAACCCCTCCAAAATGATGAATGATTGAGTACCTGTGATGATGATAGTGATTACCGGAGCAATTAAACAGTTTGATTAAATGAGCCATCATAACAATGATGTCTGCGGGAAATCAGCCCTCACATATAAAGAAAGATAGTGTGGAGGGCTGACAAACGCCAGTGGGCATTCCTGCGTGTTCCGATAGCGCCGAGCCCTGCAGAGCAGGGCTGTATTTACAAATATGGGGGGAATATGGAGAACAGTCCCTCTCCTACTTTTAGCCAGACTTGCACCCTGCTTAAAACCCGCCAGAAGCCGGCGAGCAGACCCGTTTTTTTTTTCCTAGAGGATCTCCTCCAAGATTAAAGCTAGTCCTAAGAGCAACCGAATTGCTGTGACTGACTTTCACGGGACTGTAAAGAGAGGTGAGTAAAAAAGCCCTTAGTATGTAGATCTCTTTCAAGCAGTGGTTAAGTCGATTCCTTTCGCAGGGAAAAAGCCAGTCTTCTTGTGCAGTATTTTATACTCTGTCGTATAAATCGGTAACGTAATTCAAGATATTCATGGTAATGAATGCTTGGCTAATCCTTTGGGTGCGCGGAGACCTACAGAGCAGTAGGTTATGCAAATCCTTTCCTACTTTTACAGCTGTAGTTTTCTAACAGATTTTTTAAAGAGATCTAGTCATCGGTGAATGCTATTTGCGTTTTTTCCTCTCCCCCCCCCCCTCCCCCCCCCCCCGCCCTAAAGATGCCAGATTTCTAAACTTGCGTGGAATCATTTGATTGTGATATAGCCCATACAGCCAGCTTAGAGGACGTGGTTTAAATATTTGTAGCTTCCAAACTTGTTTTTTAACCCAGGCAGTGCGAACCCGGAGCCTTGCCTCTTGAGATATACAAGTGTGTGTCTCATTTCAAATAGTTTCGGTATCACCAAAGAAGAGGTCTTTCCTTGTAATGTGGCCGTGCAAAAGTAATCTAGCTCCACTGAAGGCTCCATGTATTTGTTCAGACCTCAAGCTCTGGGAGAAGTTCATCACTTTTCCTCTCAAAAAGAAGTTTTTAGATGATTTGGCTCCCACAGAAGAAGGC